TATATCTCTGGCTTTTCAATTTTTCCTTAGGCAAGACTCTTATTCTAGTGCTTTCCTTGTTCATGGTTTTGCCCGCTTTTCTGGCCTAATCAAGTCTGTAATTATACTGATTAGTGTGACTAAAAATTGATGAGCTTTACAAGGATGTGTTGTATTTATAGAATAATGCGTAAAGCATTTTTCTAAGAAAATACAAATGATATGCAGAATGGATAAAGCATGCTTGTTTTTGTATTATTTTCTTAGAAATCTTACTTTGTTGCCTGTGACCTTGGCAGCTCAGAGCTAAACCACAAAGCCACACTGGGTAGCTAGGGCCTTTCCTAGTTGGTCTTAGGACACTGGAATAATTTCATCACTTATTTCCTGGCTTCCTCCTGGCTCAGCATGAACAAAAAATGAGTATCAGCAGACCAATTCAAATGTATAGTAGAAATTGACTTGGGTTTTATGAGAAATATGGAATATATGTGACAATCAGGAGTGTCCCCCTCATTCATAGATCTAGCATGATATTAATGCAAGGTATATTATAAAGAAAAATTGTTATTTAGGTCTACACTCTGCTTATTTAATTTAGAAGGGCATCTATTTGTGCTTAAGTTCTGAATATATGTGTTATAGGCAGTGAATAGAAAAAAATTATAAGAATTAGTAACATGCAACACAATCAGCCAAATACTTATGAATAGCAGTCACTAAAGAGGCAAGGAAATTTGCAGACCGATTTTGTAAATGGGTACAACTCAAATATTTTGAAGCCTATCTCAGCGTCTACTTTCATACTTTGCCCAAGGCCCTGCTCTTTTCTATGATTCAGTATCCTTTTTTGCCTCCATTTTCTGTACTTTCTTTTTATTTATTTATTTATTTATTTATTTATTTTTTGATTTTATTATTTATTCATTTTTTATTATTATTATACTTTAAGTTCTAGGGTACATGTGCATAACGTGCAGGTTTGTTACATATGTATACTTGTGCCATGTTGGTTCATAAACATTAGCAATCAACATTAACCTACTGGAAAACAAAAACAGAGAACGTGAGCTCAAACTTGGTCAGTTTCATTTTAATAAATGTGTACCTGTATCATTTGTTCTCTAAAAATAGCCATTCTCTAAATGTTACTGTCCATCTTAAACCTTTCAATAGATCCCTCAATCTACAGCATAAAATGCACATTCCTTAGGAGCAATGCATGCTTTTTCCATCATCGTCTGATCCCTTTCTCTTTTTCTGTTCACATCTTCATCCACTCTCTTCCTTGCACTTCATTATCCAGGTTCACTACTTTCACTACTTGATTTAGTTCTGGTTACTTGTTTCTCATATCCAAGACTACAATCTTTAACTACTTTTAGCTAGAATTCTCTTTCCTCTTCAGATTAACTGATTTATCTGGCTTCAGGATTCTGCTCAGGACTCACGGCCTCATGGAGATTCTATTTTCCTCTGCCGTGAATCAACTAAAATGAACTAGCTATTCTCCTTCTGTCAATTGCACCTTCTTACAGCTTTATTAACATATCCCTTACATGTTGTAACAAGTAGATTTTTGTATCTGTTTTCTTATGAAGATTTTGACCTCCTTGTGGTCAAATGCACCTTTTATTTATCATTTTATTCTGGATAATTTAGGAAATGCCTGCAAAGATAGATATTTAATATGAAATACATTTTCCCCTAACAAATTTTATGTTCAGCCATTTTCAGCATTCTGAATGCAAGGCTATTCCTTGGATTTAGTCATTATCCAGAAATTCTCTTCTTTCTAATGCTGAAATTCCCAACTGAAAACATCTTTTTCTGTACTTCTCAAAATTGGTCTCTTATTAGGCCAGGTCTTTGCCTTTCTTGCCATCACTAGTCATTCAAGCCCGCTTTTTAGTATGCTAGCTTAACCAGTACCTCATGGTTTGCCATTTTTAACACAAACACTATTAATCCCAACCCTACCCTAACAATTCTCTTAACCTATTGATACTAAATCTCCGCCATCTTGACATCCATCTACTTAGATAAAAAATCTGATATATAATCTCATATAAGTCATAATTATTGCTCGTGGATTTGTTATTCATTTTCATTTTCACATAAACCAAAAATTTCTACTCTTTCAAAATTACATATATTTGACATGTACAGCATGATGTTTTGATACTTATATAGTGAAATGATTACTGTAGTCAAGCAAATTAGTAAGTCCATCACCTCACATAGGTTACTCTTTTTATCTTGTGGTAAGAACACCTAAAATCTACTTTCAGCAAATTTTTATTATACAATAAAATGTTAATGATGATCATCCTCACATTGTACATTACATGTCTAAACTTATTCATCCTACATTACGGCAGCTTTGTTTCCTTTGACCTACATCTCCTTATCTATCTCCCACCCTGAACCCCTGATACCCATCATTCTACTCTTTGTTTCTATATATTCAACTTTTAAAACAAGATTCCACATGTAAATAACATTGTGTAATATTTGTCCTTCTGTATCTGGCTTAGTTCTCTTAAAGATTCAACTATGTATAACCATGTCCTTCAATTTCAGTTGAGAACTCCCCCTTTCACCTCACTAGAAAATTAAGACCATTCAACATCAACTTCTCTACCTTTTATCTCAAACATGTATTATATCTGTTTATCTTCTTCCTTTTTTATTTTCTTAGGAAAACTGGTACATTTTTTATAGGTCTTATTCTTTTCACCATGACTCTATGGGAACTTGTTCCATTAATTTACTCCAACTTCTTTGGTATGTTTCAACTCTCTCTTTACTGGCCTCTTTCTTGTAAGCTACAAGTCTTCCTAACCCTAAAAATACCTTCCCGTGGTTCTGACTGTCCCCGTATACCTAGTCACAATGTTATAGTTCTCCTTATCTCCTCTTCTAAATTTCTCAGAAGGGCAGTATACATATGTTGCTTTTAATTCCTCACAAATTACTTACTTCTTAACCATTTGGAGTGTATCTCAATCATCTGTGTAGCATTTCACTGTTGACTTCAGTTGCTTCCTCTAGCAATGCAGGGTATCAAGGAGAAGGGATGGACTCTGTACTCTCTTCTTCTTGATACTGTGTTTTTTTTTCCTATGTCCTTTCGCTATACCAGTCCCTATAAAAGAAAGGATACTTGAATTTTGTTTTGTACAATTTCTTTTCTCACTTGATACTCTTTCCCTAGAGACGTTCACTTACTCCTTTGAGGGGAGAAATTACCTTTAAAAATTATACTCATGATTATTTCTTGAGTATCACATTTAATTTAAAACATCTTCTGGACACCTTCAAATTTATCATGTACGAGATTTTACTCAGTGTTTCATTTCTAATTTCAGCCTGGTTTCATATCTTGATTTATAATATGGCTAACTTTTCAGTCACTCAGGAATAATATATTAATTCATTTCCCCAATTTTTCACATTTCTCACGTTTTAATGAGAAGTTTGTCTTTCTATTGCCTAAGATGCCCAGGACCATTTCCCCACTTGAGATCATCATAATGTCTGTCTTAGGCTACTGTAATAACATCACATAACAACTTCCTTTACTAGGTTACCTGAGTTACTGTCATAAAGTTATAGAATCCAAGAAATTTTGCAATCCATTTTTCTTTCAAATCTTTAATATATTTGCTTCCAGTGAATTATGTCACAGTGCATGTATGACATGCACAGTCATCCATGATCTGATGACTCTGCAATTGTAACTTTTATTGTATGCTCTATGAGTATCCCTAAACTTGGTATATTGCTCTTTCAGTTCCTGTGTTTTCTTCAGCCAAAATACCTATCCCCATTTAATCATCTCTCAATATTCTACTCATTCTCTAAGGCTCAACTAAAAGAGCAGTTCCTTAATGGCAAGCTCCCCTGCCACACTCAGCACAGAGGCCCTACTTTTCCAATTCAGGCATAATTAAATTCTACATATTTCCACCAAATGCTACATTGATAGATAAATTTTATTTAAAAAATCAGGGGGTTAAAACATGGGCTCTGGGACTCACATGTGATCAATCAGAATCACATGTAGTCAGACAACCTGCGTCCAAATGCTATCTTTGCCATTAACAATATAGTTTTGAGCAAGTTACTTAACCTTTTGGCATCTCTGTTTTCTCAACCTAAGTATGGAGAGGAGAGCTACCTCATGATGTTCTTGTGAAGATTATACAAGATAATGTCTTTGCTTAGTGCTTGGCAAAGGGTTAGAACTAAGTAAAAAATAACCATCATTATGTTATCATAATTATGCTTGACATGAAAAGACATAATCAATATTAAAAGGTAAATAAAACTCCGTGATACTTTGCAAAATTTTTATTACAGATTTACTGAGGATTTTGCCTTTACTAGCCACCCAGATTCCTTCTTTGAGTTGTTCCATTACAGAGGAAAGTTTATTTATCATGTGTATAAAATATTTGTTTTAACTAAATAATTTATTTATTTTTTTCCAAATCAAATGGCCCTGGGAGAAAAACAGTTTGCCTCAAATAACAGTTTGCCATCACGGACTTGTTATCTTGTCAGTTTCTTCATTTCAACATAAAGCACTGACAACTGCTCAGGTTCACATGAAACTGTGGCCTTTGTGAAGCCCTGTGTATCTCTAGCGTTCACACACAATTTTCCCACAACTGAAATCTAAAGGCCCCACTAAGCCCTAAAGAGACCTAATTATGTCCATAATAACTTGGGGACAGGGCCAGAGGGTCACTGTCCTCCAGTCATTGTCTGTTGTTATTGAACAGTTGCATTTCCTGGACAGGTTTCCTTTATCAACTTGTGAATTGTTCCCTTGTTACAATGATCCCCAGAATTTGTGGGGACGTATAATAGGCAGAAATCATTTTCTAATCATGTGGACTTCTTGGAATTAAAGCTCACTGTTGATCTTATTTCACACCACAAAATTAGCATGTCGTTAAATATTGTATATAAACAGCCACAGAAGCTGACAGACCATCATCTGTCCAGCACTACCTTCACTTCTCTTCAATCTTGGAAAAACGGTAAGAATTTTAGATACGGATTTGTTGTATCTTCTCCTAATCACGTATTTCAAAGTAGCTTGAGCTATAGAAAGAACATAGTTGCTTCAAATGTAGAGTTTGAAATAAAAGTATTTAAGGTATTACTGAAATTATTTTTAACACTTACACTAAAAAAGATAGAAGTGCCCAGAAGAATTTGGTTAAAAAATTGCAATGACAGATAACCTTCGCGAGTTTAAGAAAATGTAATAACTAATTTTATGCATATGTATATTTAGTATGAGGTTAGTTCATAGTTAATATTAAAAGGAGATTCATTTTTGAATTAATCTTCCAATTTGATTTAGCATATCACAGTCATAAAAAGAAATATACTTAAATTACAGTGTGGGTAGATAAATAATTACTGGAAAAGCTTTGTCCAACAGGCAGTTTACAGCAGTAGCATACTGAGTCAAGAAACAGAGGGAATGGTTTGGGGGCACTTACTACTTTAAATGTTTATAAACAATGTTTTTAGAAGAGTTTACTCATCAAAAGTGTCTAGAGCTTCGAATTTCCCAGTTTATTATCTACTTTGTAATATTTCAGAACAATATTAAAATGAGACAGAAATACAGAATTAAGTTAAAAAGAAACAATGTGATTTACTTTGTAAGAAAATTCTTAATGGGGTAGAGAAGACTTGGAAACCATAAAGAAAGATAATAGATGATATAAAAGAAAAAGTAGCTTAGAGCATACCAGTCGATAAAGAAACTCTGACTTAAAAATTAGTATATAGTATATTTATAGTATATAAATTAGTAGAAAAATTAGTATAATTGGTATTAGTATATATTAGTATATTTGTATGTAGCATTAGTATCATAATTATATATTAGCATATAAAATTAGTATATATTAGTAGATTAGTAATAAAATTAGTAAAGTTTGTAAGCAGATTACTTATAAAATATAGAAAATGCTGTGGGATCCTCCCCCACGTGTAATTATATATAAAATAGAGTGTTATATTCTTTTTCTGAACCCTGACATAAAATATTTGGAAACTTATGGAGGTCTTAGGCAAAGTAAAACTAATAAAAAATTATTTAACATTCATAAAAAATCTAGAAAAAAATTTATTTTCCATGATAGAGAGAATTATGTTCAACCTTCAAATATTGAAAAGAACATTTTTCAAATAAATTAGATTTTTTTCATGAAGTATTTTTAGTTCAAAAATTGAGTTTCAAAATCTGAACATGAAGATTTGAGGGTCAAGTAATATTGTGGCATAAACATTATTTTGGAATAAAAAAAAATGTAAGAACACATAACAAGGAGATGATTTCGTACATTTTGGTCACAAATGTTAACACATATTTCACAAGAAGAGGTAGTCCCAAGCTGGACAGTGGGCAAGAGGTCCTGACTCCTTGGCAGATCATCAAGAGACCTTTGTGTACATTTTAATACAGAGAAGAGAAGAAGCCTAGTGTATAATCTCTAAAGTCATGGGGCATAAAGGAGAACAGATATTATTAGCTATTTGGGGAAGATGGATATAAACAGAGAAGAAACAAACTTTATAGTCCAACAATTCTCTGGATAGTGACACAAATAAGGAAAGTGTTAAAATGAAAATCTCAGTCTTACTGGAAATGAGGAGAAATAATTAAACTAAAATATTCATGGTAACCGTTTAGTGAAAAAAAAAAGATAAAAATAAAATATGACTTTTTTGTACACATTTTCTTGATTAGTCTCTTCCCGTAGAACTGAGGCTCCATCAGGGAGTAATATCAGGACTGTAATATTTTGCTCATTGCTGCAGTCCTGGTCCCTAAACAGTGTCTGGCAAGAACAGATTCTAAGGAAATATTTTTAAATTAATGAACAAATCTTTCCATATAATTTATAACTTCTTTATGCCTTTTGAAAAATTCAAAACTGTAAATGGGACTTTTTTTTAAAGTGGGGATGAGTTGTTAGCTGAAAAATCTGAATAGCTGGCAATGAAGTTTGGAATTTGATAAATGAGAATAGCAAGCCAGAATAGATTTTGACCTCAGTCATATGATATAACTTCTATTTAGTATTTATTCTATTTATTTTCTAAAATGCAGACTTTTTTGTTATACATTATCTCTCTTTTTTATAAAAAGTAACCTTACCTAACTAAATAAGAAAATATATCTAATTGACCAATCTATCACCATTCCATTTTTGCTCCGTTCACAGGACTTACTAGCCATGAAGGTCATCATTCTTGCCTGCCTGGTGGCTCTTGCTCTTGCAAGGGAGGTATGTGCACAAGAAAAAATTCCTAAAAATCAAGAAATAGTAGGCTATATGCCTATTTGTAGAGAATAACATCACCAACATTTTTTACTGTATAATAAAGAAGAATTTCATGAAAATTATTTTGACTTCTATCAAAATCATTTATATTTACCCACTGTCTCAACAGTTTCCTATAATGCTCCAAATGCTTCCTACACCAATATGCTGCTAGTCACTAAAGAAAAAGCAAATCAATAAGTAATAAAAAATCATAAAAATGGCAACAAATATATGCATAAATAACAACTCCACGGATGCTCAACCTAGATAAACATATCTTATTCCAGTCATAAAATGTATATATATCTTATAGCCTAGGGCACTGGGTCCAAGTCTGTCTATACAAAGACATCCATAGGATGAAGTACAGACACAATCATAATCCTAATCATACATTCATAATAATATAATAAAAATATTTAATACAAATTAAAATGACTCTTAACCATCAAAAACTGTCTTTAATAAATGTAAGATAAAAGTATATTAATAAAAATTACTAAATGTAAAAGAGATTAAAGCAATTACCTTTCAAGCCTCAAAAGTCATATAACATTTTTAATTTGTCAAATTTGTGAAAGAGATAGATCTGCATAAATGATGTAAAAATTAAGTAGGATACATGTTTAACAATGAATTAGCTATAGAAACTGAATTTTTTAACATCTTTTCAGAAGGAACAATACAGTGCATCCTCTGAGGTAAGATTTTTTTTTTTTTAGAGAAAATTTATGAACCATAAAATAGTAAAATTCTCTAATGATCTAGAAGATGTAGCTGGTTGTCATTTTTTTTTTTTTCCACAGACTGTAGAAAATCTTTCAAGCAGTGAGGTAAGTTAACATTCTGCCCAATTTTAGAAGAGTAAAAGCCTGTGCTATTTTTCTATGGTGTTACATCATGGCAGTTAAGCTAATGCCGCTATGTCAATGACATATAAGTTCTAGTATACATTTCCTTTATATATGTTTAAGGACAATAAGTATCTGGAAAATACAACATTCTAGAACTTTCTAAATTGGCTTGCTACTTGAAATTGTGTTATGTTGCTTCCTCTTTTTTTTTTTTTCTTTTTTAATGAACCATACAGTCCTGTTTTCTGCCTTGAACTCTCTTTACTCTGAACTCATTCACTTTGAGCATATATTGAGGGTCTTCTATGGGTCAGACATCGACTAGGAGCTGTGGTACAAACTGAAAAGATAGAGATGCGAGTGATAGTTAAGAGCTTGCTAAGCAGTAGGTAAGCAGATATGCAAAAGTACACATTTTATAATTACAATAGCCACTTTAGTAAATAAGTGAGATTTAGTGTAGTCCTAAATCTACCTGAGAGAGTCAGGTAGATATTTATTCTTACATCTCTCTTCTTGGGTGTGTGATCGCTTGATAAGTAAATGGTACCTCAATAGACTGTTTCTTCAGGAAGGTTATATGATCCTTAAGGGAAATGCTTAACTCTCCTGATTCATTTGAAGTGATCATAATGTATCAATTGTTATTAGAATATATTTTCAAAGAGTATTTCCTTTTTTAAAAAACCATATGGGGTTTTAGAGATCATTTGTTGTCAGGGAATGAGCATGGTGGTAGAGAGAAATTAGCATCTATTAATTGCTTTTTTTGTGCCATGTCCTTCTTGACTGCATTCATCTGACTTTCTTTTATACAACAAGCTTATATAGAACAATTTAATATATAAGCTTTAATGATTATACAAAGTTATTAATGCTATTATCAAACAATTAATGCCTTTATTTCCTGATTTATATTGCAAAGTAAGAATTGTTAAAACTAAATCTAATTTTATTTTATATTTTTCTGTAGGAATCTATTACACAATACAAGGTAAATTTTCACATTTAAAATGTACATATTTTCAAAATTTCCTCTGATTTTTACAGATGGTAACATATTTTTATATATGATTTATTTTTAGCAGACAGTTGAGAAGGTTAAACATGAGGACCAGCAGCAAAGAGAGGTAATTTGTTAACGATAAATATATTTCTAAAATTATCATAAAGTATAATACATACAAAAATATTTATAATGTATATGTTGATTCTAAAGAATGATAATAAAATTAATGCCATATACCCACGAACCGCTGTAAAAAAATTAAACATTGATAAAGTCAATATATTTTCTAGGATATGCATGCATTTTTAAACTTATAATTAATTTCTGGAATATAGACTAAATACTTAATGATATTACTAATCGTATATCTGTTTTCAACAAGTGCACATTGATGGGAACATTTCCAGGTTGGGAACTATGATCCTCTTATTTTCAAGGTGGATATGGTAATGAAAAGGAGTATACAGCTGGTAAAAAAAAACCAAAACTATGTAGAATTTGTGCCATACTGCCTTCATTCCCATATGGACAACACAAAATCCTGTATTTCATTAAATTACATTTATGGTGATATGTTTACCTAATCATAATTTTCAGTTGCTTTGTGTATCAATGAATTGTTTGGTATCACATAAAATATTTTTAAAATCAATTTTAAAGAAAAAACTCAATGTCTCTTGAAAGACTCAAGAGACTATCTTCTCCCAAGGGAAGGAACGCAAGAATTTGGCTGGTGTTAAATCACTTCCTGAGATAAGCCACAAATTAAGACTGATTTTCTTTTTCATCAAACCAAAACAAAACAAAAATGAACCTTGGAATTGTCCCTCTAAGTCTTTTTAAACTGACCTCTTTTCACTGTGTGAAAACAATTTGGTCTATTATTGGCACAACTGTGTTGAAAAGTAAATTCTCTCTGAAGACCAAAGTGTACAGTTACGGCTATACAGGCAATTCAGGCAAAGGTTAAAAGAATGTTTCTGAAATATCCAAACATTGATTTCACTTTGGCTGTGTAGTTACCCATGAAGTGAGTGGGTTAAAATCTTTCAACAAACATTTTACTCATTTTTCTTCACATGACTCAAGATAATTTCTTAACAAAATAAGTGAAATATTTTCTTCCTCTCTTTCTACTCATTTATCATTGCCTAAAAGAGAGAAATGAATTCATTATGAATGGCAATTATAGCTGAATCAAGGACTCAAAGATTCTTTTTCCTTCTTTCCAGGATGAACGCCAGGATAAAATCGACCCCTCTTTCCAGCCACAGCCTCTGATCTATCCATTCGTTGAGCCTATCCCCTATGGTTTTCTTCCACAAAACATTCTGCCTCTTGCTCAGCCTGCTGTGGTGCTGCCTGTCCCTCAGCCTGAAATAATGGAAGTCCCTAAAGCTAAAGACACTATTTACACTAAAGGCAGAGTGATGCCCGTCCATAAATCTCCAACGATGCCCTTTTTTGAGCCTCAAATCCCAAAACTCACTGATTTTGAAAATCTTCATTTTCCTCTGCCTCTGCTCCAGCCCTTGATGCACCAGGTCCCTCAGCCTATTCCTCAGACTCTTGCGCTTCCCCCTCAGCCCCTGTGGTCTGTTCCTCAGCCCAAAGTCCTGCCTATCCCCCAGCAAGTGGTGCCCTACCCTCAGAGAGCTGTGCCTGTTCAAGCCCTTCTTCTCAGCCGAGAACTTCTACTTGATCCCACCCACCAGATCTACCCTGTGGCTCAGCCACTTGCCCCAGTTCATAACCCCATTAGGGTAAGTCCAAATTTACTGACTTTGCTGTTTCATTCAAGATGTGTATGTGATGGTAGAATAAAAGAATAAATGTAGAGTAAATGAATAAAATAAAGCAGTTTAGATAAGTGATTCTTAATGCTTACCTATACAATAGAATCATCTGGAGAACTTTTCCCCACAAATCCCAATGCCTATGCCTACCCAGAGATTCTAATATAATTGTTCTGGTTTTTTGTGTAGAGGAAACTGAGTGCTGAGAAAAAAGCTATTGCATGAATTCTGATTTAATTACTCTGTTGAGAATTCTGATTTAGATAAAGTAATTAAGGCTTACAAAAGCCAGAATTAAATTTAATAGTATGCTTGAATTTGGAATAAAAAAGCTGAAAATGTTCTATCATTTTCCTTGTGCACATCTATTTTACACAAACCTTAGTTCACATCTTGTTTTTGCTGTAAATATATATGAAGGCAAAAGATTGAGATGCTTATTTCACTACTTATGACATTCCTAAGGCAAGTTTTCCTACTAAGAGGTTAATTATTTATTTATTTATTTGTATTTGTTTATTTTTAAGGTCTAAGAGGATTTCAAAATTAATTTTCCCTCCTCATTTTTGGTAAGTTTTGGGAGTTTGGAGATAAAATTGATCATTTTTATACATGATGTCTTTTCACATTTAATTCTAGAGAAGACCAATATAGTGAAAATTTCATACATATAAGAACTTTTTTTTATTAATTATCAACTTAATGGTTGACTATCATTTACTGACCTGAAACTATCTATCTTTTTCATTTCAAATAACTTTATTTATGTACTATTGACAGATTTGACTGACTTGCTTTCAAGGGCTCATATACTTACATTTGATTATCACTATTTTTAGGAAAAACAGAATATATTTTTTATTTTACTTTTATGGAAATACATTTGAGCCTTTGTCAAAAGCCCGTTTGCAGTTTTATTTCTAACCTACCCTTCATAAAATTTGTATTTACTTTACTTAAAATTATCTTTTAATTCATGAGTTCAAATTACTCCAAATGTAAACGTTAAAAAGAGGAGAGAATAGTATTGCAATTCTAAGATATAAAGCCTTTTGTGATTATGAAAGACTAGACATTTCACCGAAGCAATTTCAAGTTCGCTAATATTTGGTTATATGCAAACTTTATATGCTTCCAAGCCACAACAGAATGCGTTTGCAATACAATTTATTTTGTGAATTAGTCACACTAAAGTTAGAAGTGAAGAGAGGTGAATATTTACATGTTATAACATAACTAATTGTATATTTGCTCTCTATTCCACAGAATTGACTGAGACTGGAAATATGATGCCTTTTTCACCTTTGTATCATGTTACCCCTAATTAAGTATGATTGAATGAGTTTATATGGAAAAAACTTTATTCCTTTATTTATTTATATATTATATGTCATTCATTTAATTTGAAATTTGACTCATGAACTATTTACATTTTCCAAATTTTAATTCAACTAGTACCACAGAAGTTCAATATTCATTCGGAGATGCTACAAACATATCAAACATATGTATACAAATTGTTTCTGGAATTGTGCTTATTATTATTTTTTGAAGAATCTATTTCCTTTCCAGTCATTTCAATAAATTATCCTTAAGCATATTTAAGTTGTTCTTTTCTTTAAACCTAATCGACCTCTTTAAAGTTACCTTTGATTTATTATTGATGTTCAAAATAATCCTGGAAGAATGCATCGAAATTGAATAGAATGTTTTGAGTTGAATATTAAAAGATATCAAACAATGGAGGAAAAGAAAGGATGCTTTTATACTCCATTTGCTATAGAAAGTTTTGGTTTATGCCTATTTTCCCAGTGTCATCATTATAGCTATGCCTTTCACTTTCAAAATGATCCAGCATTGGATGTTAAATTTTGTGGTGACCTGGGGAGAAAGTTTTAAACATGAAACCTGAAGCACAACTTTCCACAAGGTAGCTACATGATGCTGTAAGAGCTTTAATTCCCACATGGATAAAATACTGCAAAGAATTTTACTGAAGGTTTGATCACATATTAGTAACATGATTAGTGTACTGTATAGTACATGATAGATGATCCCTATTGCTCCACATTGCTGATATTGCTTACACCACAGCACCAAAGCATTCTAACAAATCAAAATGAACTGGGTTAATATGGTGAAACTCTGCCAGCCATTAATTCTAACTGTGAAGTAGTTGTTTATTGTGATTAATTTTCTCTCTTTCTATACCAACTCCTCCACTTGTACATTCAATTATATCTTCCTGAGTTTATGTAGTGACTCATGTCTAGCAATTATCCCATCTTTCTTATATTTCCAGTGTTTCCCTGTCCCTTGTTATAGCATAAGCATCATGGAAGACCTTATACTATAGTATCTCCCATCGTTAAAGAACAAACTTGCATCCTTAACACTACCTCCAAACCTCTCCCAATTATTTGGATTACTTTATATCAATTGTCATGCAAAAGTGTCCATAGGGCTGTTTCCATATCTCATATCTTATTCTATTGTTAACGCACTCCAATCAAATTTTTGTCCCCCACTGAAACCACTTCTTTTCAAGGTTATCAGTAATTTTCATACTGCTAATTTGTGTTCATTTTACTCAACCTCTCAGTGTTATTTGGTAGAATTTGTCATTTTGACTTCCTTGAAACATCATTCTTCATTGGAAATCCTTAACCTAATAAACCCTTGGTTTCTCCTTTAATTCAAGAGAAACTTCTCAGTCTCCCTTCTTCTATTTTCTCCTTTTCCAAATCCTTAAGGGTTGGAGTACCCTAGAGATTAGCCTTACTCTGGCTGATCCTGTTCAGTTCCCTGGCTTTAAGTACATTCTTATGCTAATGGCTTCCAAATCTCTATCTCCAAACGTCTTTGTTTTGTAACTCAAAACTTATGCACTCAACTGCCTTCTTGATCTCCACATCTAAGTATCTAATTAAAATCTCATACCTGGCATGACCTAGCATAGCTCTTAATCTGAATCCACTCTCCAACATGATCTTTAATCAATCTTCTCCACATCAATACATAGCTCTACACTCTCCTCTGTCGTCAAAACTAAAAGCTTAACAGTCACTATTGATTTATTCTTTTATCCTTGTTCTGGGTTGGATAGTGCCCCTCAAAATGCCATGTCTTTCTGGAAGCTCATTATTTGGATATAGGTTAGTTTCAAATATAATTAGTTAAGATGAGGTCATACTGGAGTGATATGGGCCCTTAATCCAATATAACTGTTACTCTTATAAGAAGAGACACAGACAGAAACAGGGGAGAATGTCATGTGACAACAGAAGCACAGATGGGAGTGATGCATCTACAAATCAATAAATACCCAAGATTTCTGGCAGCACCAGAAGTTAAAAGAAAGGTATGAGACTGATTGTTCACTAGATTATTCAGAGATCATGGACCTATCAACACTTTATTTTGAACTTCTAGCTTCCAGAATTGTAAGAAAACAAATAGCAGTTGTTTTAAGCCACTTGGCTTATGATATTTTATTAAAGCAGCACTAGGAATCTAATACACATTTCACATCCATTTATTAATGAGTATAGATATTTCAAACTAGGAAATATACGTTGAATTTCTCCAATGCTCGGTAGCTCCACTATTAATAGTTTATATTGATTCATCATCATAATCTCTTACTGAAATACTATAATGGCCTCCAAAATGACTTCCCAGTTGTCCCTTCTGTAGATGTTTCTCACTAAGCAACCAGAATTATCTTTTATGAGTGTAGGTTTTCTCAAGTCTATGTAGTATGTCATACAAAATAAAAAGATGAAATCAGTCATTCATTCAAAACCTTTTTTGGGGGAGGATGTTCTTTTCATAAAATATAGACTAGATTTGTTAAACCAGTTTTATAGTGAACAAAACTAGAAAATACAGATTAAATACTTGAAAAATGTCTTTTGAAAACACTAGGGAGCTAGCAAGTTAAAAAGCATTTGTAAGACTGGGAAGAAACTATGCCCTAAAGACAAGTCCACCATGGGTGCCTTTGTTAAATGCTAGGCATTTTTCAATAACAAGAGCACAGACTAAGAGCCTGAGAAGCTGACCCACAGACTCAGGATATGAAAATTGGGTTTGAGACCTGTCAAGGATGACGGATACTAGAAAACTTCCCAAGATATTTGTTGAGTTGATGAAAAAATATACTTCACCAGTAAAATTGAACTGAGAATAGAAAAACCTCACTGAAACTTAGCTTTGAATAATATCAATCCCTGACTGGGTAAACTGAGTGGATTAAGCTGCCAACCGGATACGCCTATGGAGAAATTAAGTGTTGATGCCTTCACCATAGGATACACAAAAATCAACGCAAGATGGACAACAGATCTAAGTGTGAATGGTGAAACAATAAAACTTCCAAGAGATAACAGAAAATATCTTTACTATTTTGGATTCCGAAAATATTTATTAACAATAACAAAGAACACAGTAATACCATAAATTATTGAAAATTTGACTTCATTAAAGAAGTGATCATCACAGGAAACCATTCAGAGAATTAAAAGGCAAGCCAGAGTTAAGGGTATATTAGCAAAAACTATAACTGCTTGTTTCTAAAATAAATAAAGAACTTCAAGTCAGTAAGAAAGACAACCAATAAAATAATCTGTAGGTTCATACGACAGTATGAGCTAGTCATGCAGCCATATTCTAGCTACATGACCAGTCTTATATTTTAATGAATGTAAAATATACATCTGCATACCATGTGACTAGTGGTTCTACTTTTTTCAGGTATATAATGAGAAAGACAAAGTTTATTCAATGACGTTTATTACAGCATGGTAAGGAAGACTTTCTTCATAACTATTGAGATAGGTACAGAGATCACTATAATGAGATTTTACATTAGGAAAGACAAATTGGGCTCAACTCCAAATACAGCATGAGCAAATAGGAATTTATAGCCAAGAAGCAGAGTGATGGTCAGTAAATGAAAAATTGCTAAGAGGAAACAACAGAGGTCATGGGGATTCTGGTTAGGCTGACTTAACAGGATTCTTGCTGAGAACAGGCCCATATGACATTACCTGGGAAATTGTGGTGGATGAGAAACCACATCAGATATTGAAGAGAATCACATATCAAGCATGGAGGATTATTGCTAAGCAGACTCAGCAAAGTTCTTTGCTTAAACTAGATTTTACAAGGAAGTACACAGATGGGCCTAGAAGTTTTAGGAGCCTGAGTAATGTTTGGTCAAGCAAAAAATTCCTTGTCAGTGCTGGCTTCATCTACAATTCTCAATCTACCACTGGAGGTCGTTCAAATCACCTCAGTGCCAGGATGCTCAACACTGCTTTTGATCAGGGTTTCTTGTAATGAGTTAGTCATGCAAGCATATTCTAGATGCTTGAATAATATAAACCACGGAAAACCATACTCACTGGATCACTTGAACTTAGGAGTTTGAGACTAGCCTGGGCAATATGCTGAGATCCTGTATCTACAAAACCTACAAATATTAGCCAGGTATGGTGGCACACATCTACAGTCCCAGCTACTTGGGAGACTGAGGTAGGAACGTCGCTGGAGTCTGGGGAGCGAATGTTGTGGTCAGTCAAGATCACATCACTGCACTTCAGCCTGGGTGACAAAGAACTTCTCTAAAAAAGAGAGAGAGAGAGAAAAAAAAAAAGTGGGGGAGGGGCGGGACTGTGTGCACACACACAGAGGAAAGATGGCCTCAGAAGATCGAGGCAGAGGTTGGATGATGCAGCTACGAAATACAGCTACAAGTTTAAGGATGCCGATGACTGCTAGCAACTACCAGAAGAAGGGCTCTTCCCTAAAGCCTTCAAAGGGAGCATGATCTTGTCAACACACTGATTTTAGGCTTCTACCTTCCCAAACTGTGAGAGAATGAATTTATGCTTTTTTCTTGAACAGTTAGTTTATGGCACTTTGTTACAGCAGTCCTTGGAAACTAATAAAAGAAGGCATCAAGATTTTGGTTAGATTTTGTTAAAAAACTGGTTGAAATCTTGGCTCAAATTATTTAACAAATGAAGAACCAGAAAATCTTAGCTTTACTGAAATTATTGGAAGCAACTTTTGCAAATGGGAAGACTTTGAAATATATTATTCAAGAGAGAAATTTTTAAAATAATAAAAGCTCAAATAATGTACCAAATTTAGGATGAAATTTTACAATTTCAATTTGGTGTATCTTAAGATGAAGAATAAAGAGTTTAATGATTCTCAGCTAAATAAGTAAGCCTATAATTCAGGCCTGGGGTTATCATGGAACCACAGTCCCTTATCCAAAGGAAGAGGCCCTTCCTACCAGCAGAACCAACTAGCATTGCTCTACTGATGTATGAACACTCAGAGAAGCTGCAATGTGATCACTTCCTTTGGGTTTAGGTTCTGAATAACTGTCAGGTCTCAAGATCTGGGCAAGCCATCTTTTCAATCACATGAACATAGCCTGCAAATTAAGTCAGTACAGAAAAGAATAATAATGAGAGATGGACAATAGAGTTAATACCCACCTTCAAGCTCTTAAATACAACTGTATTTCACTCTTGTAATTTGTTATGACATAATTTTAAAAATTCCTTTCTTGTTTTTGTCAGTTTGAGAGAAAGTTTATTTCTGTTACTTGGTACTATGAGAGCCCTCACAAAATCAAATCCACTTCATGTATGCCATGTTTCTATGCTAATAGATCTTTCACTACTTATAGCTACAGAACTTAAATTTTTGAAAAAAAAATCTAAGACCAAGATTTTGAATTACACAATTTATGTTATGGTCAGTTTGCACTGCCATAACAAAATAACATAATAAACTGGATGGCTTAAACAAAAGAAATTTGTTTCTGTTAGTTCTAGAAGTTGGAAAGTCCAAGATTAGGGTACTGGTAGATTCAGTATCTGGTGAGGGTCATTTTCCTGGTGTGCAGACAGTTGCCTTCTCGCTGAATCCTCACAAAACAGAGAGAAAGAGATCATCTCTGTGGTGTCTCTTATAAAGGCATTAATTCCATTCAGAGGTGCTTCACCCTCATCACCTAATTAACTCTCCGAAGCTTTTCCTCTAGATACAGTCACATTGGGGATTAGGTCTTAAACATATGAATGTAGAGGGGGCACAAACATTCAGTAATAATGATTAAAATAACAGGAATTCAAAAACTTGGTAGGTCTTGTGAAAATTAGGAAAGTGGAACCCCAATTTCTAAGTATAATATATTGAAATAGATGGAAAAATTAGTGAACCCATCACTCCAAAGTGTTTCTGAAGTTCTTCACACCGCACCTGTTTTACATGATGAAATAATATTTTTTTTGTTTATCTTCATTAATGACTACCTTAATTTCCCATTTTTTCTTATTGTTTCACCATGACAAAGATTCAAGTTTAATGTCAACTGGAAATACAAATTACAACCAACCAACCAACCAAGCAAACAGAAACCTAGAAAAGGCTGCCTTTAATGTATAGCAGAGTATATGACTGGTATCTTAGGATCCGAATATGGTCAGTGAACTTTGGTTCATTGGGGAGAACAGGACTGCACACTGTATATTAAAAATATTGACATTAAAATCAGGAGATTTTACACATGAATCCACATATCTAGTTTTTTTTTTCTATAAGTCCCAGTATCATGTCACACTTAGATTTTGTATACCTGAATATCAACAATGGATTTGAAAGAACAGTGGAAGGGGGAGGCATGCAATCTTGAGTTCATGTTTCTTTTGCAGCCATTATCTTACTCATGTGAAATGAGGCAGTACAAAATAGTTTTTAGCCATAGTGAAAACAGAAACTTTCAGAAACATCTATAGATAGATATTTTAATTCTAATTAGACATCCATGTGTTTACAGACAAAGCATAAATGACTATCATTTCACCTATTCACCCTGAATAAATATTAAAAGGTATTTTTAAGTACTTTTATTTTCTACCCAAGTGTAGTTGACTAAAAACTCTAGTGAGAGGCACGGAGAAATTGAAATTGCCTTTTTGAGCTAGGGAAAGTGGAAACAGCTAAGCTTGGTTTCAAAGTAAGATGGTAACACGTAAACTTCTAAACCAAAGTGGTAGCTAAAATTTTAGAGATAAATAATTATTTCATGAGAAATGGTTAAACCAGAAGTGATTTCTGTTTGAGACTAATGATCATATCTCCAGGCAAAAAATTAATGACAGTAACACTGGAGTGATTTTTGATTTAAAAATATAAATATATTTATGACTGGTTTTTTATTTTATTTTATTTATGACTGTAATTCTGGTTCAAGCTATATAAAAATTAATGAACCTTCTTACCTCCCAATTTCAAAATAAGAAGAAGTTTATGAATTCATATTCCCTGAATGAAGAGAAAAAACAAAGATCTATAGGACGGGTCCTATTATAACATCTTGTATCTAATCCTGGTTCTTACCATGAATCTATAAGTTTTGGATATTTACTTGAAGAAAGGGAACTAACTGATCTTCTTACAGATATTTGAATCCATACTCTTACCACAAATTCCTTGGAATGAATAATGTCTCCATGATCTGGTGTTCGTGTGGGGATTTCTTTGAGCCTAGTAATAGACGGTGTTGCCAACAGAGTTTGCCTCCTTTTTAGCCTAATGACAGACTAAGCCATTCATGGTAAGTTCCCAGTTTAGAGACTATAGTTTATTTTTATTTTTATTGATTGATTGAGACAGAATATTCAGAACACTGTTTTATGTATGTGTATGTGTGTGTGTGGATAAAACACCTGATATTTTATGACTTAAAAATCTGAAGAAACCAATTTTTGGTGCTGCCCAGACTGGAGAGTAATGGCATGATTTTAGCTTCCTGAAAATTGTGTCTCCTGGGTTGAAGCGATTCTCCTTCCTTATTCTCCCAACTACCTGGTATTACAGGCACCTACCACCATGCCCAGCTAATTTTTGTATTTTTAGTAGAGACGGGGTTTCCCGTTTTAGCCAGGCTGGTCTTGAACTCCTGACCTCAGATAATCAATCAGCCTGCCTCGGCCTCCCAAACTGCTGGGATTACGTGAGCTACTGCACCAGGCCCTAATATATAGTTTAAATACGTATAAACTGAACTAATCCCCATATTGCCTCCCTGCTGTATGCAGTAAGGAGGTCAACAAAGACTGACTAGAAATCATTATCATGTCTTTTTCTATGGTAAAAGAATAAATCAAAAGCAGTACTGCCTCTATAGGGAAAATGCCATGAATATTAAAGACTAAAACAATACAAGTGTGGTGAATCATATTATAATATTATTCTGTTTTCTTACTTGGCCTTTGCAGATATATATTTTATGAAGATGCGGGAGCCTGCCTCCTCCATTAATTTCCTGCAGGCCCAGTAGTCTCTGTATTTTGACAGGCTTTCTCTAGATCAGAAAACAAGTTGTTTCTCCTTGTACTTCCTAACATAGAGAGAAGGCAGGGGACCCAATGCTAAAATGGTTTCTTCAGATTTTTAAGTCATAAAATATTGGGTGTTTTATACACACACACATACACATACATAAAACAATGTTCTGAATGTTCTATCCATACATATAGAATACATTATCATTTTACATTCTTTCTATATATGCAGTAGAATACTAATGTATGTAAATCTGGTAGAATACTGAGCATCTGGTGTCTATCTAGACGGTCTAGGCCATGGGGTGAGAAGCTTTTTCACTTGTGTGTTATGATCTGGTGGATCCAATGAGTCATTAAAGGATTATGGCAGATTGGTTGGTGTGGGGAGTTTGGACCAAACCTTACCAGGTAAATCTCACCTGGGGCTTTGAAAATATTGGAACAAGTAACTATTTTTATTTAGAGAAATAAATACTACTTCGGCTCTGAAGGACACCAGGTTACTGTGTTCCTGAGTTGATCTTTTAATGACTATTATCTATTTCTCTAGCTATAAAGTTATGTATAACCAACCGGATTGGACTCAAACAGGTCCAGATGGCATAAGTAAGCTGTATAATCAGGTTGATCAAACTCTAGTGTGCCCATAACTGCCACACTGTTGTTTCTCTCCGCAGCTCTGATTATGTCCTCATGGAAAATGTTCTACAAACCACTGACTATAAATTAAAGACATTGGACAAGTTTACAAATGTCTTTTATGATCTGGCTGCTAGTGCCAGCCAGAAGTGAACAGTTCTACAAATCTTCACTAAAATGGGATTCAAAGTGTCATAAAAAATTAATGAAAACAAAATGTTACATACATTACACTATTAACAGGATTATGTAAATACTGGTGATGGAATAATGACAGAAAATATGGATTTTAATTTAATGTAAACAAATGTTATATGCAAAGACTCTTAAGATGATTATGTAAATACTGCTGAATAATGACACAAAATAGGGATTTTGCCTTAAAGTGTTATTTATTGAAAAGGAAAAAGAAAACAATCTCTGTCACTGCATAAAATTATTTTAAATGATGGCACTTACAGAATTGACAATTCAAAGGCCTTTTAAACAAAAAGTCCACTAGAGAAACTTAGTAAGGACTTTAATACCCTCTGATTAGGTGCCCTCCATATGGCACGATACAACTGAAATTTAGACAAGAAACTCTCTAGGAAAATTTAGCTTAAGAAAAAGAATGATATGCTATTAAGTAGATAACTCTAAAAGAACAATTTCCTTCAATATGGGATTTTACTATTCTAAAACAACAGTCAAGTCTTCAGACAAGATGGTTTTTCATGAGAGGAGAAATTCAGAGAATGAATTTTTCAGTCATATCTGTAAATAGAAATAAATATGTGGTGAGTTATATCAAATATTTTTGAAGAAAAGAACAGTTCTTATGATAGAACACATGTTACTATTTTCTCTTCATGTTAGACAAGCTCACAATGTTATTTATGCTTTCCTGTTACTGACATACATATCCATCGCTCTTGGTTTTTAAGCTGCAATGACAATTTTATTACTAATTTTTTTTGTTTGTTTTGTGGTATTGTTGAAGATATGGCAAGGCAATTAGTGTAAAAGGCTTTTGCATAGGTTAGTGTTTGATCATTTTCCTTGGTTTAATGTATTAGAAGGGAAGTTTCCGTGAGAGGCCACACACACACACACACACACACACACACACACACACACACACAGAAGCTCCAATGTAGTGGATGAAAATAATTAAACTTACAGACCTTTTCAACTGGTGTTGACAGACTAAAACTTTATTTCACTTTGTGACTTGTTAAGGGTGTCTATTTGACCATAAAAAATAAGATCAATGGTTAGATACATAATTTCCAAACTTACCAAGGGCCCTAACTGTGGAGTTCCTGAGAATTTAGTTAATTCTTCTGAAATCACGAAAATTGTTAAAATCACGTGATTAAAGGAAGTCAGCAATAAAAGTTTGCTAAATCAAGAAAAATACACTTCTACCTATTCAGTGTTTATTTTGCCCAAAATATGCTTAACAAAGATTACTGCATTTGATCACCCTAGGGATTATAATAAATAAGGATTATTATAAAATTTCAAGTAAGCAAAAAGGTCAGGATTTGAATTTTGGACTACTGAACACCAAAATATGTGCTATATTACCTACCCAGTGTTTTTATATTTATCACTGGTATAACCAGGAAGAAGTCACTTAAAGATTAGTAAAAGCTCATAAAGGATATTGTTGAATTACATGTCAGAAGTCTTTATATTTTTAACTTGAAGTTATTTTCCACTCTCATTAGAATAAATATCACTTATAGAAAATATAATACTGCTCCACATGTTACTAAGAAATTGATAATATTAGCCACAGCTGCCAGAAAATATTATCAATTTTCCATTTCAGAACATATTAGTCCTTTACAGCAGGCATTGATTTGCCATGTTTAATCTAAATCTGTTCTTATGGTATGTTCTCCAAGCTATTTTATTTGATTAGTTTGGTAGAACATCAAGATGTAGTAATTTAAATGAACTTACCACCACTGTAGCATGGTGTTAGTTTTTTCCTAATTCTCAGGAGCGGTGGGATTGGAGATGTCGGAAAATGGTGGGAAAGGAACATACTGCACGATTTGTGGATAGTACCAAACAGCATAGGGGTAGGCAGCAAGTTGGCTGAGCTGCTGGAAAGGCTAGAGGGAAAAACATTTGAAAAGCAACAGTGTATGAGCAATTGCTGTTTTCAATCCCTGAAAAATATCAATACATTTCATTCATTTCCAAGATGCCTGTTAGCATCATAAAAATGATTACTCTGTGAGGGAAAAGAATAAATCAAAATCCTCTATGGTGAACTATGTTGAAGAAACTTTCAGAAGGTACTCTTTTAAGAAACCTGAGGGGCAATGAATAAATTACTTTTTTAAGGACACCATTTAAGACTGAACTCCAAGAACCCACATTACTCACAGGTCCACTTATCAGACCCCAGAAGAGACTAGTAGCATACATTTCATTATTATTTACTTTATAAACTCATGGGTATTTTTGCTATTTAGATCTATAATTTTCCTTAAAGCCACTTGGGTCAAAGTACAGGCCCTGTACCCAGGGTCAGCACAGCTGTCTTTCAGAAATGCCAGGAACAGAAAATAATAATAATAATAATTCTTTAATTCCTAGGCCAATGTTCTTTTCAAACACTAGAGTTTTGGGGCCAAAACTATTTTCCTTTCTATAATTTTGGAATAGTTGCCTCTGTTAATTCATAATGAGATTACACTAAATTTTTTCAATGTACTAACAATTGAATTGCACATAGAAACAGTTACATATAATTCTCTACATATTCAGGTGGAAGTTCTTTGCTGGAATTAGGAAAAACTTTAAAAACATTTAAAATTTTGCTATGGACACCTGCCTATGTAAAGATTAAAACAAATATAATATCTGGAACTTTTTAAGATAAAATAAGGTAACTACCTCAAGACAGAACTGGCCCTGTTCTTAACAGAGAGACAGAGACAGAGAGAAAGAGAAAGAGAGAGAGAAGAGTGAGACAGAGACAGAGACAAGAGAAATAAGTTTCTATGATTTGAATGTGTTTCCCAAAGATCATGTGTTGGAAACTTAACATCCAATGCAAACTGATGAGAAGTGGGACCTTGAAGAAGTGATTAGTTCACAAGGGCTCTGTTCTCACAATTTAATTAATGCTATTATCACAAGAGTGGGCTCATTGTTGCAAGAGTGAGCTTGTTTTGACTGAGTTTGACCCTCTCTTGTGTATTCTTTTTGGCTCTTTCCCCATGGGATGATGCAACAAGAAGGCCCTCGCTTGACAGATACTGGCCCCTCTATCTTGGACTTACAGTTTCCACAACTATTAACCAAATAAATTTCTGTTCATTATAAATTACTCAGTCTGTGATAGTCTGCTACAGCAGCGCAAAACAAACTAAGGCACTAGTTTAGTAACTTACATCCAACTGAACACGAGGATAGGTCAAATTATTGCTACCCCAAACCCTCATTAATATGAAAAATGCATATATAGTTGTCACAATCTTTTTAAAAATAATTACATTGACTTGATGGGTCATGTCTGTAATCCCAGCACTTTGGGAGGCCAAGGTGAACGGATCACTGGAGGTCAGGAGTTTGAGACCAGGCTGGCCAACATGGGGAAAATCTGTCTCTACTAAAAATACAAAAATTAGCTGGGCGTTGTGATGCGTGCCGGTAATCCCATCTACTTTGGGATGCTAAGGGATGAAGATCGCTAGAATCCAAGATGAAAAGGTTGCAGTGACCCGAGATTGCGCCACTGCACTCCAGCTCAGCAACAGAGTGAGAATCTGTCTCATAATAATAATAATAATAATAATAATAATTACATGGGAAGTTAAGACCAATTAATTCTTTGCGGCCCAAATGAAGAGAATGCTTGCCTTTATTTTCCTTTTACTTTATTTTCCTTTTACTTTGTAAAGTGATTATAGAATTTCATAAAAAAAAGAAAAAAAAAAAAAAGCCTGGGCAAGGTGGCTCACGCTTGTAATCCCAGCACTTTGAGAGGCTGAGGCAGGAGAATGGCCTGAACCCGGGAGGTGGAGCTTGCACTGAGCCGAGATTACGCCACTGTGCTCCAGCCTGGGCTACAGAGCCAAACTCCATCACAAAAAAAGAAGAAAAACAAAAACAAAAACAAAAAACTGAGGGTAAAATTTGATGTGCTATGAGGAACTAAAAGTTTCTGTCTCTAGTTGCATTCATACGAAGGATGTTCCATGGCTTTCTTTACATAGCTTTTTTTTTTTTTTTTAATTAGTATGTTGTATATAAATTGAATCATTAATGGACTAGAGCCACTGAATTAAACATACAGTTATTATCTTTAAATGTGAAGACACGACATATCACTGTAAACATTAAGACATGGGAGTTTTGGAGGAGGAAATAAATTGATAGACACATATTATTTTTCTCCACAAATGAGAAACCAAAGGTCCAAGAGAGTATACAATGTGCTCAAGGTCATATGCTTAGAAGCTGTCAGAACTGAGATTTAAGTTGGGAGTTAGAAATGTTTGAGAAGAAAAAAATCTCTTCAAGAGTAGGGGGCTATTTAAGAGCAAACATATTTAAGCTTAACAAAATACTATTGTTTTGTAATATATTAAGCAAGATATTACCACTTGGACATGGCTGTTTTCACTCATTCTGCGAATTTGTTCCTGCATAAAAGGAAATACATTCTAAATTACTTAGACATCTTCTGGTATAACACATTTATCTTACATTGCACCAGAAGTATACACAACATCATTCATGAAATTTAGAATAGACCGTATTCTATGCCAAAATTAGCAAAAAATGTCAAAACCCTTTTTATTTTCTAACGTTAGAAAAAGAAATTAGCCAAAGGCTAAGCTCACTATAGTTTGGAAAAATAAACAATTAGTAAGGTTCATATTCTGAGGATAAATAATAACCTACCACTTCTCTAGGACTATGTATTTTTCTATTTAGGGCTATTTATTAATTATTTAAATTTTATCTTTTGCGACTTTTAAGTAAAATATTACCAGGTAGGGTTGGTAGGAACACTCTCTCTCAGAGTATATTTATGTTAAAAAAGAAGCATGCATTATAAAAATATAACACGTGAAGGAAATACTAAAATATTTTAGATTTAATAAATAATCTCACCTGGGCATGGGCAGCTTGCTAGGGAGGAGAAAACATTCTGTTTTAGTATTTTCATTTTATTTACTCACGAATAAGAAACATTTGCTGGGTACCTTCATTTGTTCAGGGACAATGTTAAATACTGGAGACAAGACTGTAAAATACTACAAAATCTCTCAGGAGGACCAGTTGGTTCTAACAGTTATGGAGGTTACATACTAGGCATATCATACATATGGTACTAAAATATATTATTCAGGTAATTTTCTAGATCAATAATGATGAATTCTATTGGGGCACTGATATGTTTAAATTTATTTGGATACTATTTTAAATACAAGTTACCTGAAAATGGAAACAAGAGTAACAGTTAGGGTCCAAATTAAATTCATTATTGATTTTCATCTTCCTCTATTGATAACGATTAAAAATGCTAGCATGTAATTTTGCTAAATTAAAACAAAGCATTTCCCAAAGTCTTCATTATGTCAAATTTACTTATAGTAACTGAAAGGTTTTTATTGTCCTCCCTAAAGAAAGACTTATATGTTACTCAAAAGGGTTGAAACCAATGAAAAGCAGATTATGTGAGTTTTGACAGAAACAAATCTGATGTTTAGCATTCCTGTTTCCTTTCTCAGAGTCTATACTATTCCTTAAATGGAAAGTTTATTTGACATATCTGTGATTTCACAGGTAAGCATATTTATGAAATTCTCAACCAGAATGTATCATCGGGGAGGTTAAAAGTGAATTTGTGGTAGAATGTACTCACTTTCTCCCTGGTTAGTAATTATGGATAAGATATACAACTTTAGTCCAGAAATAAAGAGAACGAGCATTGCCAGCAAATATGCAGGCAAACATACAAATAATATGCCAATTATTGGTCAAGGTTAGAATAAATAATTTCTTAATAAAAATAAAAATATATTTAGAAGTGGCCTCAATTTAAAATTTCTTTTAATTCTATAGTAGAATATGGTTTTGTATTATAATGAATAAAATATTACCAGCTGAAGTTGGTTGTATTCGTTCATTCTACGAAACTGTTCCTATTTAAAAAGAAAAATATTCTCAATTGCTTGGATGTCATTCAATCCAACCCCATCATTTTCATATGATGAAACAAGAATCTTACAATGCTTTTCCCCAAGGGTAGAGAATGAGGAACTATTAAACCTGAGTGCCATTTCTACCCCAAATAATTTGGACCTCTTCCATTATTCCCTTTTAAAAACATTTTTAAAAGCAACTTCTTGAATTTAAATTATAATTCTGTCTGATATAAATTAGTACCAGCCAATTTTAGTACAATATATCAGAATTATTAAGAAAATTAAAACTTTTTTATTTGCTGACTGTGAAGATTTAACTTTGGCCAAATTAGATTAGAATATTAAATGGACAGGGAAAAATAATTTTTCAAATATTATCCAACATTTATTTATAGTTTACTCTGTGTCATGGATTGCATTAATTGCTTTACATCACCACATCACCTAATATTTATTATTATTGCCATTTTGGGGTTTAGTTATAGACTTATACTGGGAAAGTGAACGGTTCGACATCACATATGTGTGGGTAGAGCTATGAGTCGAACTCAAGTGTAACCAAATCTACAGACTGCCACTTAAATACTATGTTATGTAGATTCAAAAGGAGACTATAAAATACAAATATTCAAGTCAAACTGTGAATTAGATACCCAGGATAAAAAAAGTTGCTAGTTTTATCTTTAGAGGGAAATAAGAAAGCATCTAGATCCCATCAGACTACTTACAATAAAGTCTAGCAGATATTGAAAAGGATAAGTAATTTATCAATACAACATTCTCACTCTTTCCTTGATATATTTGCCTTTGATAAATCTTTAATGCCACTTTTTCAGATGGCATTGGTATAGCATGTCTTCCCTTGGGGGGTGTGTGTGTGTGTGTGTGTGTGTGTGTGTGTTTGTGTGTCTGTATATGTGAAAGTAAGTGCATTTTAATTTATCCTGGAAAATATTAATATATTTTAAATTTAGCAAACATATCTTACTGCAGACTTACTGAGAGAATTTTCCTTTTAAAAAATAAAAATATGCATAGCTTTAATTTCAGGACATTAATTTACATTTAAAGTTAAAATATGAATCAACAAAACTATTACTAAACAATTACAGTAAATTGATTTTCATTATAAATTCCCCAAAAGCTGAGACAAGATTAATAATTTAAAGCACATATTATAATCACATTGCTTTTCCTTTTCTCACTGCTTTAACCACTACATTGCTCCGAATGTTGGGGGTGGAGGTGAAGTAATGATTTGTATTCAATTAACAGAAATCCCGCTTAACTGAGTTGGTTTTATTTTGGTAACTTGCATGAAGGTCTTCTCCCAAAGTCAAAGGAAAAACAACACCACTTTTTATGTAGGCCGACTTTTGTTCTCAAGATTAACACAGGGCAAAGTGTGGGGAGTAGTTAGAGGAGACCAACGTCTGATTAACCTAGAATTGGTTAAATTCTAAATGGTTTATGAAATGTTTACTTCATTGGCTTATAGGCATCGTAATTGTTAGAATTTTTAACGATAAGATTGAGTTTTAACAAAATCTGTGAAGGACAAAGTAATTGGTTAAAAAATAATAATTTGGACATCACAGATGCCAGATAAAATTGTTTGCCCAGAAATAATGTCAATTTGTCTCTGACAAACAATTGCTTTCTTACTTCTTTTGGATAGCTACTCACATACTAAAACTAGAATAGTGCCACATATACACTGCCTTGTACAATCAGACCTTATGGGATATGTAATCCTCACAGTACAAGTTTTCATAATGTTTTAAATTAATTGGGACTCAGAATTAATATCAAAATTATTTACCTCACTTGATGAACTGATGCTAGATTCCGTCTTCTAAAATAAAGAAAACTAGTATCAACTATACCCTGGGATTTTTAGAATTTGAAGGAAACTAGTTCCATACCATCATGGTGAAATGCTTACCATGGTAACATTGTAATTGAATTAGTGGTATGGGAAAATTCAGGTGTACTATATTGTATTTTCTTGGAGTGTCAATTTTATTGAAAATTTATGGCTGTAAGTTTAATAACTTATCTGGGAACATAAAAACTTAAAAGCGATAGTTTTTAATTTAGGAAAACAAACACAAGTTTATCATTTAGTAGAATGCAAATTTTACATAGATTTTTGTGACACAAATGAAACCTCTAAGAAAGAACTGTATTTAGCTGGGTACCTATAACCCTGGGTTAAACATCTATTCTCATCTGCCCTTGGGGTTTCTGTGATGTGAATAAAATGGAAACATTAAATACAATACGCAATCTTAAAATGAAGCTAAAATTACATTAGCTTTTAAAATACTTACTTTGAACTATTTATTTTTTATGCAAAGTCCTTTATGTTTATATTTATATATACATATAATTATACTTCCCAAGTACATACATATTTTAACAGATTAATTTTAATATTCAACAGACTTTATCTCTGGAGATGGTTGATTAACCATATGCAATAAGTCAGCATTTAAAAAAATATATTTGTAAATAGTGTAGCTCACTGATTCTAGGTAATTGCTGCAATAGATTCTTTCTGCCCAAGGAGAGGAAGAGGGGCATGGGTTGACAAACTATTAGGTTGGTGCAAAAGTAATTGACGTTTTGCCATTACTTTGTAAACACTGCAATTACTTTTGCACCAACCTAATAGTATTTCCATTATTTTTAATGGCAAAAAAGCACAATAACTTTTGCACTAACCTATACCTATTGGGTAGTACGCTCACTACCTGTGTCTGATATACTCATGTAAAAATCTTACACGCATACACTTGTATCTAAAATAAAAAAGTAATCTTAGGCCCTGGGACGTCAGAGCCAGCGTTCTGTGGGACTCTCATTTTAAACATCCATGAATCTTTTGTTTTCATTTTGTATTTAAATGAATAAGCAATCTTTTTACTAATTATTGTTTAAATGGCTTAAACTCCATCTTCCAATTTCAACTTTATATAGCACAACATTGTACGTTCTTGAGTATAATATTTCTGTTTGAGAAGTCCAATAAGTTAAAATTAGAATAGAATTAATTTAAAATTAAGATGTTAACATTTTAAAATTCAGTGTCTTATTCTGCTTAATTTCAGAAGACAGTCTTCTTAAAATGAAGCATACTGCGTATACTATGTATGATACATAAGTGTAGAGTTCACTAGAATGAACGGGTCTTACCTCAGACTCTGCCATAACATGGTTCTTAAGAAAGGAAAGATAATTAATTTCATTTTTCATGGCAAATAGTCAAACACAAAAGTAATGATTACCAAATAAAATGGATGTCAAAGAAAATAGAAAACTGAGACAATATCAAAGTAATAAGAAAAACTAAAAAGCCTGCCTACCTTATCTCTGAGCTACCTGAACCTGCATTTTGAAATTTAAATAAAACGTTTTGGATTCTTCTATGTTGTAGTAAATCAGTGAAAGTAAGTTTACATTTTCCTTTATCCAGCATGACTTTTCGTTTTCCCTTTTTTAAAACTTAGCTTCTGGACACTGAACAGAACACTGCACTGAAGCTCATGAAGTAAATACAACTGGGCTAAACGAGAGCACTAATTCAATGGTGTATAAATACTTAAGCAAATGAAGTTGCTCCATCTAGTACGTTTTGCTTAGTTTTCACGACTACAGCAACACAGAGATCAGTGACATTATCCGTAGAATTTAAATTCAAAATATTTGTGTTGGTTTAGTTACCCTGGCCAACGTATGATGCAGTATATCTTTTCTTTCTTTGAATTAGAGTTATCTGTCATAGTTTTTATTCAAAATAATAATTTATTTTTGGAAATATGTATTGTTTCTTTTCCTCATATTGGTTTAATAATTTTAAAACAAAGGGTCTCACCTCAATTGACTCATTCCTAGTATCCTGCCAAGACAATCGATCAGTCAGTTATGAAAGATTGTTAAGAAGATTTATATTTTATCCCATAAAGTTTGAGCACCTGCTGTCTCAATACCAATTCTACTAAAAAACTAGTAGACAATCCGAATCAAAGACATTACGTTTAAAGAAAATAATTGAGTATGACTATGTAAATATTCTTGAGCCAGATATTGTATTACTTCATATAATATCCTTGATAAAGCATTCATTTAATTTTGGTGATAAATGTGAACACATAATTGCATTTATTTGTTTATTTGCTGTTTCATTCATTCACATTAATGCCTTGTTTCATCACAGTTACACAATTAAGTCAAGAAATCATTATCTTCAGAATTCTCAGCAGAATCCATTAGTCACTACAAATGTATGAGTGAAAAGTTCAAAGAAAGGAAAAAATCATAGAAAAATGTTTTTTTCTTTTCCTAAATGAAAACATTTTTTGCTACTACAAGAATATATACTTTTGTCATACTCTTTCAAGAAAAACTTTGGTACCTTGATTTCATCACTCTGTTTTTCTCTCAGAACTTTTCTCTGCTAAAATCAATAAAGTGTACCTTGTAAAATATGTTTTCATGAAGACAAACTTTTAACATAATTTAAATTTCGTTGATGCTTCTTACCCTGTTCATACCATTGATGTATTCCTTAGGGATAAAAAAGAAAAGATAAACAATATTAGTGAAACAAGACATAAATGAGTGGAAATCTATGAGAAACTATACTTCACATCGTGCTGATACAAATTTAAAAATAAATCTATTTTTCCTGAATGAACTAATATTCCTTATTATATCATTTCTAACCCTAAATGGTCTTTCCCACTACACAATTAAGTCAATCAAATCAGCAATCTTTAGAATTCTCAGCAGAATTCATTAGTGCTGATACAAATTTAAAAATAAATTTATTTTTCATGAAAGAGCTAGTATTCCTGAGTGTATCATTTCTAACCTTTAAGTGGTGTTTCCCTACACTTTCTTTGCGTAACACTACTATGTAAGTGTGCAATTAACAATATTTTTACATTGTTCCACTCAATTTTGTTATCGCTGACTTTCACTTTGTTTTAGGCACTGTTCTGAGTCTCCTGATCTTAACACTTACTTCCCTTTGTTAATTGTACCGTATATTCTGTGGAGTCATTCTTACCTCTCTTGATTCTAATGATATAGGCTACAAAAAAAAAAAAAGGTTATGTTAAAATTCATTCATAGTTGGGTTATCTATCAAATCATTTAGATAATGTCCTTGAATTAAAATATGATGTTCTTCTATTCAGCAATTAAGTCAAAAAATTATAGAGAATATGACACATATGTATTATTTACAGTTAAGAGCATTCTATTATAAGGAGTAAGGAAACTGTAAACCTCCACATATGTCATGGAAAGGAGAGCAGAATGTTTTGGAGAGGCAAACATTTAAGTACAAATGAAAATATAAAGTGACTCTTTAATATATGCATATCTTGTTTCTATATTCTTTCTGGGCGTTTGGGTGACTGAATGATGGGAAGAGTTGATCAACTTAGGTTACAAAACAACAACAAAAAACCTTTTTATTTTTAAGGCAGTTTCTTGCTCTATCGCCCTGGTGCTATCATAACTCACTGCAGCTTTAACCTCCCACGCTCAAGTGACCCTCCCACCTCAGCTTCCCAAGTAGCTGGGACCACAAGTGCGTGGCACCACATCCGACTATTTTTTTTTTTCAAATTTTTTTGTGGAAATGGGGTTTGGTTATGCTGTTTAGGCTGGTCGCAAATTTCTGGGCTCAAGCAATCCTGCCTCAGCCTCCCAAAGTGTTGGGATTACAAGTGTGAGCCACTGCACCCAGTATAAAAAAAAAAAAAATTATAAATATAAATTAAATAATTTTTCCCAGAAAAATGTTTCTTCTTTTAAGAATAAATGGATAACACTTACCAAAACAAGCCTGAGAAACTTTCCTTCTTTGATAATTTCCTATTGAAATTAAATTGTGAATTATAAAAATAATAAAAACACCAAAAAAAAAACCACATTATTCCCATTTGAACACAAATACTCCATTTAATTTGGTAAACCAATAGATTTCTAGGGTAGAAGAACAAATAATTAGTTTTAGTTTTATATCTAATTTTACAATCTAAAGAACACCTACACCTTAATTAGTTCCTTCTTCACCAGGCCAGGAAATTTAATAAGTCTATGCTTACCAAACTAACTAAGAAGTCGAATAGGAATTTCATCAAACAGAATTGAGAGAGCAATCCAGGTACTTGAGTTGTTGGATGCATTTGAAGGGAAATAAAAATTGTAAAGAAGAAGACATTCAACATGCATGATAGCAAATTGAAAGAGAGAAAAAGGAAGAGAGAATCTTGACTCCTCATAAACAGAGCTTACCTCACTGCTCTCTGATGGATTCTGTAAAAAATAATAAGTTTAAAATGGTATTATTCCAATTGCAGGACAGAATGTAGGATTAATTGTGCTCATAGAAAGTTGTGATAGAGGTAACTAATTCAAGATTCAACATCTCAAATGAGACCAAACTGTAAATCATAGGCTTGAATACGTGTAACACTGAAAAAAGCAAGAATACATTATAATAAGCACGTCAACAGATTCTGTTTAATTAACTACTTCTCTTGGATAAAAATAAGACTTTTATTAACATAAATGTTTATCTAAGTCTGTGTGTCATCCTCTAAGTTTGTGAGAGCAAATTACGTCTGGCAGTGCTTGAACTAAAGAAATGGTGCGTCAGCAAAAGTGAAACAGGTTGTTTCATAGAGAAGGGAAGAGCACATTTGGAGTATATGCTTCACAATTAGAGTGAATTCTTGGAATGCAGAATAGAGTATTTACCTGAAGGAGTTCTGGGTATCTAAGAGGAAGTTTCTGTGAAAAACAATGCAAGAATTGTAAAACAAAAAGTAACTAAAATGACAGTAACAATATAATAATACACATATAATATGATGATTTTTGACACTGCTATTTTCAAAAGGTACATGTTTTCATAACAATATTTGTCAGAGACCAAGTTTCTCTGGGAATACAGTGGAAAAAAAGAAATCATAATTATTTTATAGACAAATATCAAAGGAAAATAATCATTTCCTTTCTTTAGATTATGGCTGGGAGTTGAGAAAACTATGTAAAACATCTTTTAAAAAGCAAAAATTCTGGGTTAGAATTTATAATTCTGGGTTAGAATAATAAACAATTTATTTAGTTTTCTGAATTATTTATATTACACCAAAATTCTAAAGATGATTTTAAACTAGTATAAAAAAATGTTGGGCAAATTATAATTTCCTAATTCAAATGTTTAGGTTTTATTTTTATTTTTTATTTTTATATACTTTAAGTTCTAGGGTACATGTGCACTACGTGAAGGTTCGTTACATATGTATACATGTGCCATGCTGGTGTGCTGCACCCATTAACTCGTCATTTACATTAGGTATATCTCCTAATGCTATCCCTCCCCACTGCCCCCACCTCACAACAGGCCCCAGTGTGTGATGTTCCCCTTCCCGTGTCCAAGTGTTCTCATTGTTTAATTCCCACCTATGAGTGAGAACATGTGGTGTTTGGTTTTTTGTCCTTGCCATAGTTTGCTGAGAATGATGGTTTCCAGCTTCATCCATGTCCCTACTAAGGACATGAACTCATCCATTTTTATGACTGCATAGTATTCCATGGTGTGTATGTGCCACATTTTCTTAATCCAGTCTATCATTGATGGACATTTAGGTTGGTTCCAAGTCTTTGCTATAGTGAATAGTGCCTCAATAAACATACATGTGCATGTGTCTTTATAGCAGCATGACTTACAATCCTTTGGGTGTAGCCTGATTTATAATCCTTTGGGTATATTGTCTAGGTTTTATTTTTACCATCGCTTAAATTATATGACAATTGATCTCAATCTGCATAGACTTCATGTTAAACAGTGACATAAACAAACACACACATAACTCTATTGTTTCCTTTGGAATAAAAGTGTAGCATCTATTTTCTGGGCTGCTTTTCCCCACTTCCTGGTAAAATGACAAGATAAGAACTGCTCAGATGGTTCATTCCTGAGGAAGATGTATCATTGTTTTGGTAACTTGCAAGCAGAGATTTCTTTCTATTGATGTTTAGATTATAGCATAAACAAAGACTATTGGTTCAGAAGTTGACAATGACTGATTCTGCAGTTTCCAAAGGGGAATTTAGAGAACAAGTCTGTCAGTGCAAACAACAGACTATATCTGCATTTCAGAAATTTTGCTTCTGTATGAGATAATTTCAGTGTCCAAATATCTCCAATCATCCCTCTAAACTGATGTTTTTTTCAGTCAGGTGTTTATTCTTCTCATTCATTAACTACACATAACAAGAGAATAGAGAAACTTTTTGGTTCGCATCCCTATCTAATTGATATAAACACTCTTTATGAGAAGAAAGGTAATTTTAATATACATTATCTCGTTTCATTATTTACATTGTTTACAGTGACCACAATAAATTGATCACTCAATCACCTGAATCACCCCAGGTTTCTATCCCTTGTGGGGGGAAGAAAAGTTTACACAAGCCATCTCAGATGAGGGTTTGATTTTGATTCCAAAAGTAGGATACATTGGAACATGTGGCTTTGTGTTATATTTGGTAAAGCAATTTTGGACTACTATTACATTTTTAGAAACATGAGAATTTTGTAGTAGACTCAAGGAACAGGCCTAATCACATTTTTTGATGCTACTTATTATGTTGTGCACTACCTTATTCTTTTTCTTACTTTTAAATTTTTAGCTCTTTTTTATTGTGGGGTGCTTATAATTCAAGTTAGACATTTTATTCAGAGTTAAGGCTCTCAGTGGACTGTGTAACAGTGATGAAAATGGGAATCATTACTGCATTTCTATTGTCAAGACTTCAGAGACCAATTGGAGATCATGCAGTGCTTGAAGATTATTCCTCTGGGTATCCTATGTTTGATGAAGTTTCAGGTCATTTCTAACAAGAATCTAAATCTTCCTAAATTCTCTACCGAACTTACAGGCCTGGCAAGAGCAACAGCCACAAGACAGGTGAGAATGAGAAGCTTCATGGTGATAAAAGCCTATGTAAGACGACAAAAAAAAGAAAGAGTTAGATATTATTATATTAAATTTATTTCCTGAAAAAAAAATCCTTGATTTTTCAACAAAGGAGCAAATGTTGATAAAATAGGCTTATATGAGGAGCTGTAACGTGAATTTTTATAAACTTAAGATTTTAAAAACTTTACTACTCAATATCAATGTTTATCATTCTAGTCATAGTTATAAAAGAAATACTTATTTCTTACAAACATTTTTCTTCACTAACTCTTTAAAACATGACATTTTGTCCTTAATGTAATAATATGGGCTTAGAGAAACAGAGAAGTGCTAATTTTGAAATACAATTGAAAAAAGAAAACACTTTTCCTCCTAGATCTCAAATCAGATTTTCTAAAGTGAGCAATAAAGTAAAATCCACTGAGAACTGGAATTTAATTTGATTGAAAATTTTTGAAAATGAGTTTCTCTTTTAAATCTATTTGAGAGCATTCTTTTCTTTTAGAGTCTTCATGAAAAATCCTGTCTGCATGTTATATAAAAGCTATTAATCTCCTTCAATTATTTTTTAAAATAATCTAGTCATAACTTCATGTTTTGCTACATTGGAATATTCATGACATAAATACATGAAGATGATTGAATTGGATAGAATCAAAATATTGACATGTCTTATATTTGATTTCTTTAGTTTCATTAAATTGCAAGCACCCAGAAATATGGACATTCACATGTACCTGGAAAATGGTTTCCAGAGAAATCATTAGAAAAAAAATCAGGTCACACATGCTATTTGTTCACATATTAATCAACATACTAACGTTGACATTTATATATATTGCTTCAGTCTACAAATTTTAGAATCTAAATGTGTTAATAAAGAAGGCATATTTTTGAACTCAAATAAATTTACTATTTGTGTCTTTCTGAATATCTAAACTTAATAATCAGTACAAAGTAGTCATCTATATCTAATTACCTATTATAGATAAACACATTGCAGAGTTAATTTTATTACCCAAATGACATGAAACAACAATGGCCTTGAAATATTCTGCTAGAAATGGTTTTTGCTACGGTAATTACAAAAATAAATTATTTGCATAACAACTTCTCATAGAATCAGGTAAAAAATAATTTAAATTACCTCACCCCAAGTCTCTACTGAAATTATGTACCAACTTTAAAAACATATAATATTTTAGTTACAAAATTATCAAAAAAATGATTTGGTATTTTTATAAAACTGTATTGATTCATCACCTAAAGTTCTAAAATGGTATCCAAATTTGCAAAGGGATTTTTAAGGTGCCAGTAAATCATAAGAAGGTTTAATATTTGTAAACATATGGAAAAGTTACAAATATACTTGGTAAATAGTGGAAGAAAGTGTAAAATGTAAAATGATAGTAATTTTGCTGTATGTAAACGCAGTACCTTAAACCCAAGACTGGAGAGAAGCAAGCTGTGTTGATGATCAAGATGATGGCCTATCTCTTTGCTTCACAGCTATTTAAATGTGGTAATTGGAAAATGATAATTTTGTGGTTTCAGTTCAACCAGTAGGTTTATTTACATTCTAAGAATTCTCCCAAATAGGAAACTAATTGTCTGTCCAATTTCTTTCCCAGGAAATTCTGAGAGGTTTCAACAGGGAGTGATTCATGCTATGATAACAGATTACACAAGAAATAAAGTAGCATTATTGAAAATTAAAATACAAAAATTTCCAAATGCATGGCTATTATAAAAATATGATTTTATGTTGAATCCATAATTTAACAGGAACATATTAATACAGTTCTCTGTATATCTTTTGAAAAATTCAATTGCTATAATGGAAATCCTGGGGACAAAATAGGCTCTTAGAAACGTTCCAATTTTTATCAGTGTACTAGGTCATTAAAAGAATTCATCATTTATTTACCTTTTAAAATGTAGCTTGTCTCCTATTATTTGTTGTGACTATCTGCTTTATGGATTAACTTATACTGTATATGCTCTGATCTTTTTTTCAAAGAAGGAAATCCAACTGCCCTATATGTTTTGGTGATATTTAAGCTACATCAGACAATTTTTTGTTTGCTTTCTTTTAGGCATATTGGTTGTGATAGTTTGTATTTAACAAATTATAACATTGTCTAATTAGAATTAATATTTATTCATTAATTATAATTTTAAAAGATTTTGGAAAAGTATATCATATCTCTGATTTCCTATTTTTTTAAAGTAAATAAAGGAAAAAAATGAAAATGCCTCTCTCCTATCTCCAATTCTGTTCCTTTATGTTAACTATCATTATACAACGTATAAAAATACTATATCCTGAGGAAAATATCTGTAATAGAGAGGGTTTTTAAAAACTGCTGTTGACTGTGACTTTGCTTTTTTACAGGAAAAGAATAATACTATCTATTTTAGGTAATAAAAACATAATAATGATATTTACAGCCTTTTCACAGTCACATGAAAACGGCATTATTCTGGATTAAAAGAAGTTTCAGACTGGTTAATCTCAGATTGGGGATCAGAAGAGATGTACTTTCCCATTTCCCATATTAAAGTTCTCTTTAGTTGTGTCTTCCTTACTGACTACATCACATCAATTTCAACAACCTACTAGTGTTTCCTATTCACTGTGATTCATTTAAGAGGCTGAGGACAAGCATCAACTGTATTATAATACCTTGCTTTTGTCTTTTCCCAGAAGTGTACCCAGGAAAACTGATTTATTTTATTACTAACTCAAAATCAAGCTATATAAAAATCAACTGTAATTTATGAAAAGATTCTGTCTCCTCATTTGTTTATTCATTTATTTACTTATTTATTCACAAAGATGAAAGTGCTGGACAAGGTATTGGGGATATAAAACTTGAGCAACACAAAATTTCCGGCCTCAAAGTATGATGGATAATTAACCCACAAAAAGTAAAGAAGTTTAATTTTTACAAAAAATCCAAAAAAAAGATTCGAACAGGGCCTCTGGAGTATGGAGTACCTGAGGAAAACTAAGACTGTTGGCCATATCAAACAAGGCCCCTTAGATGAATTTGATAATAAGAAGCCTTTACATTATAGGGGATCAATTACACAGTTACAAATATCTAATTTACATCATAAGGCAAATCACCTCTTAGTGAATTTACATAACAGCTCTATAAATTTTCATGAACTCAAAATCCAGGGTTTAAAAAATCTGTAATGCGGCCAGGTATGGTGTCTCATGCCTGTCATCTCAGCACTTTTGGAGGCCGAGTTGGAAGGATTGCTTTAGGCCAGGAGTTTGAGACCAGCCTAGGCATCATAGCAAGAACCCATCTCTATTTTCAAATAAATAAATAAATAAATACTAATCTATAATCCCCTAGGGATAAGGATCAATCTCTACTTTGCCTCAATTAGTTATTAGTAATTAAAGAGGGTTCAGTAGGTTTTCCTTTTAAAAAAATAAATCATTATTATTATACAATATGACTATCCACTATAATTTGAGAAAATATGATTTTATATGATGACTGTAGATTTGTGCAATCAATGCCCAGTCTGCAAGATTTTAACTGAGGTTTAATGCATTATCTTGATAATTTTCTGTATGCTTTTATCAGTTAAATTTGGTCTGTTCTAACCATTAAAAAAGCTCCATTTGAAGCATATATTTAGGCCATCTGTGGTCAGATGGGAATTTGTCCCATAAGTAAATACAAAATGAAATTATTTTCCGAAAGTCAGTATTTAATTTTCTGTGTAACAGGGTCACATGTAGGTTCAACATGTAATTGATCATCCAATGTTCAATACTTCTAGTAATGAAAGGGTCAGATCTTAATAATTACAATAGGACAACACCATAAACCAGGACTATTCCAGGAATACTAGGACGTAGACACTCTAGTCAAATGGCACAATTACTTTTGAACACCCAACAGATTCCCTATACAAGGGAAAGTGGAAATAGATCAGGTAAGGGGCAACTACAGGAAGCTTATTTCTTTTTAGGATTCATACTCGTTGGAAAATTAATACATACAGGCCAGGCACAGTGGCTCATGCCTGTAATCCCAGCACTTGGGGAGGTGGAGGCTGGCGGATCACTTGACGTCAGGAGTTCAAGGCCAGCAGCCTGGACAACATGGCATAACCCTGTCTCTACTGAAAACACAAAAATTAGCCAGGTGTGGTGGTGCCTGCCTGTAATCCCAGCTACTTGGGAGGCTGAGGAAGGAGAATCACTTGAACCTAGGAGGTGGAGGCTGCAGTGAATTGAGACTGCGCTACTGAACTCTAATCTGGGCAACAGAGCAAGGCTCTGTCTCAAAAAAAAGAATATTAATACATACAAAAATGAAAGGAGACCTCATTAGCAATAGATAGATTTTGAGAAAAAATACTATGTCAAGTGGTAAATTTTACTATGCAAAGTTATGTATATTACTGCTGCATACACATTCTGCTTCATATTTAAACCTGCTCTCGGGGACTCATTTTGTTGAAGTCAGTAATTTACAGTGTGAAATTTCAAAGGTAATTTGTCATAGTTGTCCCAGGACATTTGATAAAAGATTGATAAGTCTTCTAGGAAAATGTTCTTTTATTGCGCAGCAAATGGCTAACTTTCAAGAAAGAACCTTACGGAGAAATGTAAAAGATATTTTTGTTTTTCTCTAGAAACTCACATACAATTTGGAACCTAAAAGGGAATTCATAATAGATGCTTAGTAATGTGCTTAGGTGTTGTCTGAATAGAAACTAAAATAGAGTTATTTTCGGGAAGTTTTCATTTAGTATGAATATATAGTAGCACTGATATATAGCACCTATGATTAATATCATGCTTGCAATTAGAATAATGCCTTTTAAAAGTCTGCGATGCTCTGTCAATAGGTCCTTGGAGTTCTAAAATAAAGTACACAGTCTTAGTAAGGTGATTATAATGTAGTGGTTGTAAGGCAATGCTCCAGTGTTAAATTGTAAGTTTAAATCCTGGCTCTCACTAACCAACTGTATAATCTTGTTCAAA